GTGAACAAATTAGTGTATAGCATTCTATACCTCTACCTATGTTCATAAAATCATGCAATTTTACATACATATGATTGTGTCCTCCATGTTGTTTTGCATTTTTGTAATAATGTATGGTCTTTTTAATTTTTCATTCCTATCTCCTCTCTCCTCTTCTCCTCATCTTCACCGTATTATCTACATCCTCCAAGTACTCACACACACACACACACACACACACACAAACACACACACATCTGGAGAAGGAATGGAGTCTGTCTAGAGGTGCTTCATACATATTTCTTTGCAACTTGCTTTTCTTAATATTCAAAATCTCTCTCAGAAATATTTCCAGGTGTGCCATTGTAGCTCCAAATCACTCTTTACAATAATTACACATGCTAGCTACTATGGGCTGATCCATGCACTTTCTTCCTAGACAGAAAGGTCCAGAAGCAAAAACCTACACTTCCCAGATGCTAGGGCTCTTGATATAAATGGATTCCCCCAACTAAATGTCCTTCTCATAAAGCTAGAAAGGTAGAGGCTATTTTCCTCCTCTTTGGGGATGTTTCTGATGGCAAATACAGTCATGCAACATAGTTCTCCTGATATAAGCATAACCATCTATATAGCAAAAGTGTTTGTGTTGTTACATAACAATGTTTAAAACTTTAAGATATATTATAGATATGAAAAAAAGAGATGGCTCTCCTTGTCTACTGCTCAGGCTCCAAGGCATCCAGAGCTATCATGATGGGAAGAGTAGAGGCCACAGTCTGGATTACAGCTGGAAGTGGTCTCTAGCTCTCTGATACCCAAATATAATCATAGCAATGACAGCATCAGTAGGCTCTTAACCTCAGCATAACCTCAGGGGTGACCTCAGAGAAGGTACGTCCCTGCAGCATAAGCCCATACTTTCTTGTATTTATCCCTTTCTACCTAAAAATTGTGAGGAACTTTCTATTCCCTATGCCAAATCCTGACAGATACACTGACAACATGCACTCATTCCTTTACTGATGTGCATTCATTTCATTTCCACATATTTGTACTTTAAACAATGCAGCAATCAAATACAAATAAAGAAGCAAATAAATCCTCAATTTAAATCCTCTATTTCTACAGAGTAAATTTCTATTGCATTGCATTTTGAAGAGGGCAGGTTTGAAAGGCTAGGGTGTTTTATTACAATAAATGTTTTCAGAATACTTTCTTAAAAGGCAATAACAATTCATATTTCTAGTAGCAATTCAAAATTCCTTGTATATCTGCCAGTGATAGGTGTTATTATTGGTTCTCATTTTTGTCAATCTAAAGTAGGATCTAAAGTAGGATCTCTTGTGGTAGCAACTCATTTCCCTTTTAGTACATTTATATTCGGTTTTGGGTGGGGTTTTTTGAGACAGGGTCTGCTACATGGTCCAGGCTCACCTCGAACTCACTGTGATCCTCTTGCCTCAGCCTCTGGGATTACAGGCATGTCCTACCATACCCAGCTACACTAGTTTATATTCTGAACATTAGTATTTGCTCTTGCATAGTGCCCACTTATATCTTTTTGTCCATTTTTAGTCTGAGATTTTTATTTTCTTTTCTTTGTTTCTGTCAAATTTGTAAGAGATCATGAAATATAAAATTTTAATAGATTGTCAAATGCATTTTAACCTATATTTTCTCTATAGTATACATCAAATATGTATCTTTCATTTCATAGATTCTAGATTTTCAATTTTAACTCTTGAAAAAATCTTCCCCAAAATCTTGGGCTGTATTTGCAGTTTCCTGATTCCTTTTATAACTTTTGTTATTCTCTTTTTATATTAACTTTTTAATTCATCTGCAACTTAATCTTAGACTGTGAGATCAATCGGGAGCCATTTATGAGCATCTTGATTTTCTTCCAGGTACAGAGTCAATTGAGCCATTATCTTTGGGGAGATAAACCAACCCTTTCTTACTAAGTAGAATCTGTCTGTGATGCTCTGCTTGCTCCACTTTGTTTTTATCCTTCTGCTTATGTCAGATTGATTTTATTACAGTGGTTTTAGAGTATGTTCTGAAATCTGATCATGGAAAGACCCTCTCACAACGTTTGTATTTTTTAGCAAGCTGAGCTACAATTATTCTTCCAAGTACCTTTTAATCTGACATTACCCACTTCAAAACTAGTGAAAAACAAAACAAACAAACAAAAAAACCAACATGATACAATTGGGTTTCTAATAGAAACTGCATTAAAATTTATATTGACTAAGGGAAGTTGACATTTTTATGATTTCTTGTCGAAAAGCATGGTTTAACTCTTCAAGTAACACTTATAGATGCTATATCTTCTTTAATTTTTTCACAAATGTTATAGTTTTTACAACTAGAATTAATGATATTTTTCAGCTTTATCTGGGCATTGCCAAAATGGAGAAAAGCTATTGATTTACTACTATTGCTGATATCCAAGCATTTTAGCAAATTCTTTCATAATTCTAATAATGTTTACTAGGAAGTCTAAGATTTCTGAGAATTTCACACACTAAGCACATGCTTATATTGATTATAAAAACAATAATGTACTCTATCATAATGCAAATTCTACTAGAGATAATCAGCAATTGAGCTCCACTGAAAACAAGGTAACTTTTTCTCTGGGAGGACATGACAGGGAGATGGATGACAGATCCCCATTATTTTCCTGGGCCAAACTCTCCAGCAAAGAAGGCACAAAATAATGGAAATTCCCAGATTTGCATAAACTGGAGCCGACAATTTCAACCAAATAGCACCAGAATTGATTTAGACAGAACAGCCCAAATCTAAAATTCCCAGCTGACTCCACAACTGATCTCATTTCATTAACTCAAAAAAATACAACTCCACATTCTTCACAGCTGAATTTTAAGGACTTCATTTATTGCACTTAATGGGGTTTTACTAATTTTTGTCTTACTCGACTTTGTTTCGTGTGTGTGTGGTTTCATGTTTACTCATTTGCTTCAAATTTATCTGATGCATTCCCTAGAGCCTTTGAGAAAATTGTTGAATATCGGTGACAGAAGACAGTCCTGTGTCCTGTGTTTTTGCTTGATTCTAATTGAAATAGTTTTGTACTTATTACTTGGAATAACCATGTTTATGTCTTTGGCTTACAGGTCATCATTGCTTTTAAGTAGCTTCTTTCTTTTTTTTTTTTTTTTTTTTTTTTTTTTTTT